AAGTGGATACTTCAAACATTGCGCAATGCGAGAAGTATCCCCTTAGGTTTGTGGGCGCCAAGGAGTCTCTCGCACTGGCAGCACGCCGCTCTGCTCTGTTTTAGGTTCTGATATTCAAAATCGCGGAGTCAGTGTTTTCCAACTCATGGTTTTGAAATATTGCGCTCTCCATGGATTTTTCTCATTTAAATCCATGAGAAAAAAAAGCACGTATTAAAGGAAAATATAATGTGTGTTTCGTAAATATGAAGGTGGTTCCGCGTCTCATTTAAGGATTTCCAAATTCCAAAGCATACCAACTTTTTCTTTTATATTTTGTGCTTTAACTGTGCTGCTGGTGTACGCGCAACCAATCGCTCAAAATTGGTCCTATTTGACTCCAAAAGATCAATGTACAAATGGGTTAAAACCAAGGATTGCGTGCTTCTTGGTTTTTTCTCTTCTCTCATTCGTTTTTGTACAGTTTCTTTTAAAATAACTATTGCGAATAATATCGATGCCATCGCTTGGAAAACATTTTTACAAACATTGGCCACGTTTTAAAAATGTAATGTTTTTAAATTGAAGTAATATTTTCATTCAAAAAAAGGAAAAGAAAAGGTATGTATGAGGTATATTTTATTTCGTTTTATATCGACTTTGAAGTTGGGCCCAAAGGCGACGGTTGATCATATTCAAGTATGTTACGTGTCTAGGTGTCCTTTACACCATATTTGAAGCTCATCACCCGTCACCTTTGGTCCCAGGTCGAAATCTGAGGTAAAACCGCGAAAAACATGGATTTTTAGCTATTTCGGGCTAAAAAGTTGAAGAAGTTCGATTTTGAAGTTGGGCCTAAAGGCGACAGTCAATCATATTCAAGTACGTTACGTGTCTAGGTGTTCTTAACACCATATTCGAAGCTCATCACCCGTTCGCCTTTGGGCCCAGGTCGAAATCTGAGGTAGAACCGCGAAAAACATGGATTTTTAGCTATTGCGGGCTAAAAAGTTGAAGAAGTTCGATTTTGAAGTTGGGCCCAAAGGCGACGGTTGGTCATCTTCAAGGATGTTACGTGTCTAGGTGTCCTTGACAAAATATTCGAAGCTCATCACCCGTCGCCTTTGGACCCAGGTCGAAATCTTAGGTAGAACCGCGAAAAACGCGAAATTTCAGCTATTTTCTGCTCCGGAGCCATGTTTAGGCCCCTGTTTCGCAGCCAAAAAACGTGAGTATCGGCAAAACTCGATTATTTCTGTCAAATATGCACCGTCAACTGCCATATATCAAAAAATTTCTCAATTCTTGGCCGATTTCGGCCAAAATTGCAACCCCTCCTCGTTTGGCTCAAAAAAACGTTATCGTCAAGAATAAAAATCAAACCTAACTGAAAAAATTCACCACAGTAGGTACAAAATGAGTCCTTTATAGTATGAGATAAGTTAGGAATATACCTCCCTGAAATTCTCCGAAGCATAAGATTCAAAAATTCTATGGGCATTTAAAAATAAGAGCCTACAAGTTTTACAGAAAATTCGCATGGAATCGGAGGAAGTTTGACAGCTCGAGTCCAGTGTTCATGAGCCCTTTTTCCTTAGCGCCTCAGTATTGATACCCGAGTGCAAGACAGTGACATCGGTAATAACGCCTTGATACAACTGTTCGTACTCTACGGACATGCGTGTTGCTTGTTAAAAATTGAAGGCACTCCGGTCGTTCTAATTTGAAGCAGTGCTCACAGCCGCACGTTATCAACACTCCGGGTGGCGATGGGATATTATAATACCTTAATATCGTCACCCTCCAGGCAAAGTATCACAAGCGCCATGCGACGTTTAAAAATTTCCGCCGCCATTTTATTTCTTTACTGAGAAATTGTTGGTTGAATCTGTTTGGAAATTTCACTAAATTTTATCGGCAGCACAAAGAAAATTCAGTGAAATTTTCGGACAGCTTCGTAAAACAATTTCTCTGTAAAAAAATAAAATGGCGGCGGAAATTTTTAAACGTCGCATGGCGCTTGTGATACTTTGCCTGGAAGGTGACGATATGTGAAAATTGTGCGGAAATATCCTACTCTGTCCTCTTGCCTTTAGTTTATATCAGAGAATTTAATCTTACCATATATTAGTAACAGCGCGCCACACGCTGCTGCATGCATTGCTGCAGGGAGTACAGTAATCAGAGCCCCTTCAATTTTGTTACATGCAACAAGCGTCACGTTTGCTTATGTTGACTGATATGTCAGAACAAGAAGCTCGCTGCTGCGTGGATTACTTGGATTACATTTTGCAAAAAGGAATCACTAGCATTGCAATGTTGCTAAGATTGTGCAACTTCTTTTGTCTTGGAGGAAAAACCCGATTATCCATTAATAGTTTCTATTTTACTCGCTAAAAACTGTAAATTTAAGACAAAAATTACCATCTAAATTTCATAGTTTTTCACGATTTCCGCAATTTTATGCAAAAGATGAAGTTGCACAATCTTAGCATCATTGCAATGCTAGTGGTTCCTTTTTGCAAAATGCAATCCACTTCGTGGAGCAGAGTGACTGGAGCGCCTTCGATTTTGTTACATGCAACACGCGTCACGTTTGCGTATGATGACTGATATGTCAGGACAAGAGGCTCGGCTCGTCTGATTCTACTTGAATGTCGTTTAAGAAACTGAATTTAAAAATAATAATTTTTCTAAGTTGTTATGTTAAAAATCAAGTTTAATAGATCGTTTTTTATTTGGAGGGACGATTTCGTCACTTGAGGTCACTCATGCTCAAATTAATTCACCATAAGTAGAGATTATACTCGTTTACCTTTTGCATCAGGGTTAATTAAAAATAAAAAATAAATTTAAAATCTCAAAATTTATTAACAGATAAGAATTCCAATTTTATTAACGTCTAAGAGTTGAAATAAATAAATTTTTAGATTTTACATGAAACCACGTTTAAAATGTCTAGTTTTTAGATAAAACGATTTAATCAAAAATTGTTTCACTTATTTTAATGAAAATTAGATTCTAAATTTCAACGATCAAAAACTCATAAGATAAATGTTAAAGCAAGATAAATCAAAATGAAAATCATAACTAAATAAAATTGATAATCTTTAGTTTTAAAAAGTGTAAAATTATAGAAAAGTTTAAATTTTAAATATGATTATTTCAATATTTAATTTGGAAAAAATAAAAACTACTCGATTAAAATGATTACATAAACATACAGTCTAAATTTAAAATTAATAATTAGGCGAATAGTTTCCTGAGAGGCTGTTCAACTCCCATTTCCAGCGTGTGAAGTCGGCTTATCTACACGGAGAAAAATAGAACCGCACTGAGCACCAGGATCTACACCTCAGCACATGCGGCGGATGATGATTTGGACGTATTTCTGCCGAACGGAACTATTTTCATTAAGACATGAGCCTTGAGACTCATAAGAATAGTGCATAACAGGGCTCACTGTATAATGCATATCGACGGTGCAAGTCGGCAATCACATAACTCGGTTTGCGACGTCGCAGACTTCCTGCCATACTTTATTTTTTACACCGAAAACTGCTCAACGGATATTCTTCAAAACTGCTGTGATTATTCTTCTCTGTGCAAAGAAAATTCTGCAAAAACACCAAGGAATTATGTCAATTTGTTCTCCTTTAAAAAAATAACATAGAGGCGGAGATTTTCAGACACCGCAAACGAGTTATGTGATTGCCGACTTACACCGTCGATATAGTTCCGTTTGGCAGAAATACGTCCATTTTGCTTTACCCTTCCAATCTGCACTTGGGCACAGCCGGCGACTGTCCTCAGCACATTCCTCCTGTACTTTCTCACATACTTCCTCCAAGGCGACGTCTTTTCCTGTACTCCACCACATCCGGTGGTAGCTGATGCAAAGTTGGTGCTCAGCGCGGTTCTATTTTTCTCAACGATACACTGTTAAAAATCCCGGCGCGAAATTCACGCTTACTCAGTCGCTATCTCGACCACCTGTTACTCTGAGTGCATGGATCCGGCGCGAAATAAGCTCGGCGCGAATTTCGCGCTCTGGCGCACAGTGGATCGAGTCAATGGGGGTGGTCGGACAAAATTAGGAAACTTTAAAAGCTCCTAACTCCGTTCATACAAAACTTGAGATTTCAAAAGTGGTTTCATTGGTTTTCTGGTAAAATTTTCTTCTAAAATCACTCCTCATTATTTAAAATGTGACGAAATAAACATCAAAATCTGCAGTTTTAGTCAAAAATTTCATGTCCGAGCTTTCTGATTGATTCGATCCATTGTGTGGCGGGAGTGAAATTCCGACAGGCAACGTAAAGTGGAAATGCCGCAGCATGGATCTGAACTCGAGCCGCGGCGGTGATAGACGAATGCGCTACCACTCTGCCGTTCGGTGCTCATACCGGGACGCCCTGAATTCGCGCCACTTGAGGTACCTCAACTACTTCGTCCGTCGTTGATGATATTCACGCTCTGATCGATTCACTCGGAGTTCGGCGCGAAATGGAGATGTTGCATGTGTGAGGGATTTGCGATTTGACCATTGATTCTCATGTAAAAGTTCGCGAGAAACACGATGGTGCCACTGGTTTTCTCTGAAATCATCTCCCAAGCTCAAAAAAGCTCTCAAAGTGAGGCCAAAATGGAGGGGATATCCCACCCTACCCTGAGAGTCCACCTCTACATCAAAACAAACTCTCCATGCGAAGATAGGGAGCAAATACATTAGCAGTGATGCCGTGTTTTCAGTTTTGGAGTCCCCAGATAAAGTGGCAACCCTGCTAATGTATTTGCTCCCTATCTTTGCATGGGGAGTTTGTTTTGATGTAGAGGTGGACTCTCAGGGTAGGGTGGGATATCCCCGCCATTTTGGCCTCACTTCGAGAGCTTTTTCAGACGTTAGGAGATGATTTCAGAGAAAACCAATGGCACCATCGTGTTTCTCGCGAACTTTTACATAAGAATCAATGGTCAAATCGCAAATCCCTCACACATGCATCATCTCCATTCGCGCTGGATTTTTTTTTTCACGCCGGCTATTCACTCAGAGTAAATCATAAATTTTTAACAGTGTATAGTAACTGTAGATTGGTGGTGACCTTCATTATTCGCGATTAATCATCGGGACGATGTGGGACAGGAACTTGGCCTTGAGTCGGCGATTGATTTGACGGCCGGCGGCCAGAGCGGCGTTCCTCTCGGACAGCGAGGGCCGGCACATGAACGTGCACTCGAAGCGGACCCTTCCGAGCCTGCGGCACTTGGCCTGCTGCGCCCCCGGGCAGGCGCGGTCGATCTCCTCCTCGGTCAGACTCAGAAAGGCGTTCAAAGCGTGACGACAGTTGCGCCTCGCACGCGGGTCGGTGACTCTCCATGTGGATTCTTCCTCTTCGTCAAACAGGTGGTCTCTGCACGGGTCGTTCTCTTGGTATCCTCTCAAGTTGGTCCGGAAGGCCGCCATTTGCTGGACCGGATCCACTTCCTCGTCCTCATCGTCCTCTTCCTCCCCCTCCGAATCCACCTCCGGTTCTGGTTCTGGTTGCGGCTGTCCCTGAAAAAAATCGGCGTATGATGACTCTGCGGGCCGATTATTGAAACTGATAGACAAAGCTATAGACAAAAACGACAAAAGGGATTTGGAGGGATCCGATTGGTGGAAGCGGGTGGTTGCAATGGACAAAGGAGGTAGATAATAGACTAACTAACGGCAACCCACGAGAGACCCGACAGTTAGTCTATCATTTTCCCCCTTAGTCTATGAGAACCACCCATTTCAACCAATAGGATTGCTTTATACCCCCTATGTCTTCTTTGTCTATAGCTTTGTCTATCAATTTCAATGATCGGCCCGCTGGTCTGCGGAGAAGGTGGGTATGGATTCGATGGACGTAAATCCATCGAGAAATGAAAACATGAATCGATAGACCGGACATTTTAAAAATAAAACCGGTATCAATTCGATCGACTTGAATCGATCGAAAATTAAAACGTGAACTGATCGACAAAAGCCGTGAATCGATTGACAAACCCATGAATCGATCGAAAACTAAAACGTGAACCGATCAACAACCGTGAATCGATCGACAAAAGCCGTGAATCGAATGACAAACCCGTGAATCGATCGACAAACGCCGTAAATCGATCGACAAAAGTCGCGAGTCTATTGACAAACGCGTGAATCGATGGACAAGATCCGTGAGTCGATCGACAAACGCAAGAATCGATCGAAAAATCCGTGAGTCGATTGAAGAACCCGTGAGTCAACTGATTAATCCGTGAATCGATCGACAAAAATCCGTGCGTCGATCGACAAACCCGTGTATCAATCGACAAAATCCGTGCGTCGATCGACAAACTCGTGATCGGCAACGAGTGATCGGAAAACGCGTGAATCGATAGACAAGATCCGTGAGTCGATCGACAAACGCAAGAATCGATCGAAAAATCCGTGAGTCGATTGAAAAACCCGAAAGTCAACTGATAAATCCGTGAATCGATCGACAAACTCGTGAATCGATCGACAAACGCCGTGAATCGATCGACAAATGTCGCGAGTCTATTGACAAACCCGTGAATCGATCGGAAATCGCGTGAATCGATAGACAAGATCCGTGAGTCGATCGACAAACACAAGAATTGATCGAAAAATCTGTTAGTCGATTGAAAAACCCGTGAGTTAATTGACAGACGCCGTGAGAGTCGATCGACGAAAGCCGCGAGTCTATTGACAAACCCGTGAATCGATCGAGAAACGCTTGAGTCGATCGGCAATATCCGTGAATCGATCGACAAATCCGTGAGTAGATTGACTAACCCGTGAGTCAATTGATAAATCCGTGAATCGATCGACAAAATCCGTGCGTCGATCGACAAACGCAAGAATCGATCGGTAAACCCGTGACTCGATCGAAAAAATCCGTGAATCGATCGACAAACGCAAGCATCGATCGATAAGCCCGTTACTCGATCGAAAAAATCCGTGAGTCGATGGACAAACGCGTGAATCGATCGACGAAAGCCGTCGACAAGCGAGTCGGTCGTATCGCGTCGATCGGTTCACGTTTGTCGTTGTCGATCGTTTCATCGATCGTTTGTCGATCGACTCATGTCAAGCGAATCGACACTGTATTGTTTAAATGAATTGTCGATTGAATCGGTGTCGATCGGATCACCTCGATCAGTTCATGTTTTTTATTTTTCGATCGAATCATGTCGATCGAATCGACACCAGTTTTTTAATAATTTGTAGATCGAACCGATATGTCGATGCCCTGTTGCGGAGAGTGGGTCTGTTGCACTCAAGAGGTACCGCCAATAAGTCTTTCCTCGGATAAAATGGACGTCTGGACTTATGAACGTATTTATGGTAAAAGAAACTATAGAGATGTGTATAGGAAAGATGAAACGAGCCCGTTCAAAATGCATAAGAAACTATGTAAAAGTGGAGGTGATTCCTTACGGCTAAGTGGAAAGGTAGCATTTTACAGTAAATCAAAAGGAACTAAACACCATAATTTACTAACTCATGAGCCTTGTTGCAAGGATTTGAGACTATGTAGCTCATTATTTTACGAGAGGATTCAAGTATCAGAAAAGATTCGGAACCCTATGATTTCAAAGTCAACCGGAGCCTAGCTTCTACTATCGTGATGAAGTAATCTAATTACTTAGGTCATTGTTAATTTTTTGTACTTCTCAAAAGAGTAAAAATCATGATTTATCAAGCAGAAAGTTGAAAGTAGTGCCAATTATGAAGCAATTTTTCATAATATCTGTGAGCTCTAAAACTACTATATACCTTCTACTTCAGAATCTTATTAAACATGTTCACTTACCACTACCGTTGAAATTAGCATTGCAAAAGATGCGATGACAACCAAATTGAGTAGTATTAAACGCATTTTAAACGCAATTTTTTTCGTTAGTAGTTTACGTTGTAGGAAACCTAATTATAGTAACATATCTGAACCACAAACTTTTTCAATATTCTTGAAGAAACTCTAGAGATATGAGAGATTTGACTCTAATGAGAGCAAGATCCTGCCGTTACGAAAAATCGATGCACTTTATTCAGTCTATAACGGAATCCGTTTCTTTTTATACCAAATATACTTCTCCCTCGCGATTTGCGCGTGAAATTTAAAGTTAAATTAAAAAAAAAAAAAAATCCGAGGTCAGCCACCGATTGATAGCGTGTACTCCCACACGGGCAGAGGAGAAATGGCAGATCAAAATGCGACCTCGCCAAAGTTGCTCTTGTAAAATTACAGTTTTCCGAAAAAATGTAATTTTTTTCTTTGATCTTGCAGGTACTCTCTCGGTTACCGGGATACCGTCCATTTAGTGGTTTAAAAAAAACGCTCATGGTAAAGTGATTGTCGTAAAATGCTTTTAGCATTTTTTTTGCTTTGCAAAAGCTTTTCGTGAAATTTCCGTGGAATATGAAATACCACTCAAAAATTTCAAGGCGAAATGCAGCAGTCTCGCTTTCTCGTTAATGAGTGTGAGACAGAGAGAGATTGAGGAACGTCTGATGCAAAAAGGTTGATTCTGGAAAGTGCTGTCTCTTCGAAATTCTACGAATGAACGTTCGTTATGAATCATGGTTGCAGCTGTTAATTAAAAAAAAAACGGTTCACGGATAGTTTCATGCTGAAATTACACGCTCCTCTTGATGCATGAGAATACATTATGAATATGAAAGTAAAAAGGTAGAATGCTGGCCAAAGTACAAAACGATGTATCCCCATTACAGCGTTTCAAAACTTCCGCTACTACTTTATTTTTTATAAAGAGAAACAAGCCAACTTCAAAGCTTGTTATTCATACGGAACATTACGAAGTAAGAACGGTGGCGATGTGAAGAGCAAGAAATAATAGTTTCTTCCTAGAGAATTGTCATTTTGGCCTGCCTCAAGTAGCATTTCTCAACGGAAAAATCGCTGTATATTGCGATTTTATCGGCGATAAAATCGCCAGGATCATTAACATCTGAGCGATTATCCTCGATCTTATCGCGATTAAATCGCGGTTTTATCGCCCGAAAATTTATCGCAATATTTTCGAAATAAAAATCCCGATGAATGGCGATTTAATCTCGATTTTATCGACAAGAATTGATCACGATTTTATCGCACCAAAAATTGCGAATTTTAGCGATTTAATCGCCATATATCGCGATTTTTAATGCTATAATATCTCGATACATTGCCACCGATAAAATCGCGATAACCAACTGATAAATCGCTATTTTACGCAATCACTGTTACTTGGGGCGTTCCTCATGGTATTTTCATGAGCGGGAAGTTTGAATTGATTGTTTATGCCAAAAAACACAAGAAAACGGGTGACCAAGGCTAAAAAACAAACACAAGGCCTGGGACGTTTTGGGATCGTTTCAACCCCCTCTTCAGGGGCGGTTATTTTAAAGTAAGAAGTAAATACCTTGGGCTGTTTTATAATCATTTTAACACACATATTCTTTCCACCTGCCTCAGCTCCATACAAAGTATACTACACGGAGAAAAAAACTTCGTGCGTGGGACCCGAAGTTTAGGTCATATGGATCTCTGAAGTTTTCGGATTGAGCATCTGAACACTTACGGTCCAGCTGCCGAAGTTCAGGTCTGACATCTGGAACTTCAGCTCTTACATCTGAAGTACTTCAGATGTGAGAACCGAAGTTTTCGGATGTGAAGTACTTTAGATGTAAGAACTGAAGTTTCAGATGTGTGATCCGAACCTTGACAGCTAGACCTTAAGTGTTCAGATGCTCAATCTGAAAACTTCAGAGATCCATATGACCTAAACTTCAGGTCCCACGCACAAGGCTTTTTTCTCCGTGTATGACAGAGAATCGACAAGATAATGACAGAGATAGTATTCCTCTTGTGAAACTCTGGGAAGTCCTAGAAGAAACTGGTTTTAGTAAAGGACTTATTGGGGCAGTCAAGCAGTTTTATCGGGGGGCTTTTGCTAGAATTAAGTGCCAAGGAAGGCTTTCAGACGGTTTTTTTGTCACCAAGGGGCTTAAGCAGGGATGTTGTCTGTCACCGACGCTGTTTAAGATATATCTAGAGCACGTTCTGAAGGAATGGAAAAGAAAGTGTGCCGGCATGGGCGTCCCTCTAAATGACCAAGAAACACTGTTCACGCTATGCTTTGCTGACGACCAGGTAGTCATAAGTCAAGATCACGATGACGCGGAGTATATGACCCGGAA